ATACAGGCCTCATGGTGCTGTCCGCATCTACTTACCGGGAGAATAAAGGAGAATACCACCTGCGCCCCTGTCTCCTTGAGCTTGGCTCCCAGGGCCTTGTAGTCCTTTGTGATGTAGTCTGGACTGCCCAGCTGCGACATTTGTTCCCACGTGGATTAGGACTATGAAGTACTGGTCCGAGGGTCAAATGAGGTCCGGGATCATGTCTGTAACATCCTGAATCTGAGCCCCAGGCAGGCAGCAGACCTCATGTGCCATGGGGTTGGGTTGGCAGATGGGACCCTCCGTTCCCCTCAGGATGGAGTCTCCGATGACCCAGAATCATCCCAGTGCTCCCATGTCAGCACTGGGATCATATATAGTACTGAATTCATTAAGATTTTAGATAGCTGAAGTGATAACTCAGGATGCCAAAAAGGAAGAAACTCAAGAAAGAGCTTAACATCTTCTGTTACAGATAAGCAGGGAAGGCATTGGCAGATAAAATTCTTATCGTCTGGCACTGAAGCTGAGTGAAGAACAGTGCAAGCACACTCCGTCTGAACTGGACCTAGCCCTGAAGCTGTCCGCACATCCTCTGAGGCCTTGGCTGGTCACCTTTGAATGTTATGCAGTGGGTGTCCTTTGCCTCCACAGCAGTCCTTATTGCTGGACTTGAAGTGGCTTGATTTGCTCATGAAAGCAAGGCCTGTTGTTTCCAGGTGATATGCAGTTATTTGTATTGGTTTCCATCCATGCTACAGATCTTGGAAGTGAAAATCCTGGTGCACAATATGTAAGTGATGCACTATATCAGCATATAAGCAGACATCTGTTATCCATATCTTACTTGGAAGTCACTGAATGAGATATGATCAGCATGGTGCAATGTTCTTGAAAGAGTCAGCAGCAGCCTTGTGGACTGAGCAGAAATTAATCCATAAGTGATTTTGGCTGCATCCATCCTAGACCCATTATTCAGCGTTACCAGTTCCTAGTATCCCCAAGGTGAGATGGGACACAGTTCAAGTCAGATGGGACACAGCAAAGATAAGATGGAACAGTTCCCAAACTGGTTGGGACTACTTGTCAAATCTACTTCAAATGTCCAGCTAATTTCCAACATGTTTTTGTCTTATGTGGAAATTGTGCCTCAAAAGCAGGGTCAAATATTCCATTCAGATCCAGAGTTGTTGCATCAAATGACCTTGATGTTGGTCGGATGAGCCACACTGATTAGGGCTATTCAAGAAATTCTCACTCAAAGTAGGTATGGCTATTATAGGGAAATTTGTACCTGGGCATCCTAAAATCTAACTTTGGAGGCCCTAATTCTGAAGATTCTGGACTACCTAGTGCTAAGACTGGTGGGACTGGCATTTAGTTCTGTTAAAGTTCATCTGGCTTCAATATCAGCTCATTATGCTACTGCTGAATGCACTTAATTAAGACTCAGTGCAGTTCAGACTATTAAGGGTTTGCTCCTTGCCTGGGTCAACTTCTGCTTCTCTTCCTGCAGTTGAGGGAGCCCCCTTTCAAATCTCTCTTAGAATATTTCTAATACTATCTTAACATCAAGGCTGTCTTTTTAGCTGCTGTAGGATTGGCAAAGAGCTAGCAAGACCCTACTAGTATGCATATTTTCCAGGGACAAGATGGTGATTTAAGTTGCGTCCTAAGGTTATCTCAGAATTCCATCTCGGCTAATCACTTCACCAGTCTCCACCCCCTCCCGTATGTTCTGGATGTCTCTCGCTCTGCTTTGTTACCGAGATAGGGCTATACCCTTCAGGCCTTCTTTCCATTCTTTGTGGCCAGATCTGGTGTGTTAGAAGGCCAACTGGCCTCATTCTAGAGACTCTCAACGGGCATAATTTCCATATTTTTCGAACTGGGGAGTCTTCCCTCTTAAATATCAAGGTGCATTTCCATCAGAGCACAAACAAGTTTGTCAGCTTATTTCAGAAACCTGCTGAAAACAGATTTGTAAGACACCCGTGTGGAGTAACCCCAATGCTTGTTGAATGTGCTTGACATAGCTGCCAGGGCTTGATACCAAGTTTGTAAGGTCAATACTGAAATCTTTTTGGTTGATCATCTCCTTATTACCATTGTATAAGGAATAGAGAGCTCACAAATCACTTCCTGGGGGATCCGTACTAAAGACCTGTCTCTCTAGTTTGGTGCATTTGATAGTTATACAGGAATATCCTCCTTGCATAGACACAGTGCATGCTGATGTGGAAGTGTTCGTCCCGACAGATCTATGCTCTCCTCCCCAAAATAATGTAAACTAATTTGATGAAAAGTGTTCCTAGGTGCATCCATACCTGGGGCATATCAGCTAGGAGATGGGACTTTTTTCTGCCTTAGGCCACCAAAATCTTAATGCAGATCTGGTCTGACATGTTTAAGAAAAATTAGTTACTTCTGCTACAAGTACTTGTGGCCACTAGAGACTACATCCCAGTTCCAGCATTTTGGGGTTGTCCTCAATCATGGACTTCAGATTGAGCTATGGAAAAAAGATTGCATCCAGTGTACCAATCAATTCTGATAAAACTATAGACCATTAAGTCCATGTGTACCCTACCAGAGTACTGAAATAATTTAGACTTGCATGCAAGAAGTGAAATCCCCACTCAGGGTGACAACATGAGTCATGTTTTACTATAGCCCTTCTTTCTGGGGAAAGAGATGACACTTTCTTGAAGTATTGGGAACTAGAACAATTTTTCTTTCTCTTAAATATCTATGATCTCCATTATAATATATGAAAGTGGTGTACTTATTAATGTGTTTAGCCTCACACAACCCCTATTTGTGGGAGGTGCCATGCACATTGTGCAGAGGGAAGCTAAGCCACTTGCTCAAGCTTTTGCAGGAGTTCTGTAGCAGAGTTGAATTTAAACCCAAATCTCAAGTCCAAGGCTCTTGCCTCTTAACAACCAGTCCAGCCTTCCTCTGAGAGTCTTTTTAGCTTTTCTTGTTACATAAGAGAATTCTGTATTTCCTGAAATGTCACATGTTTAGTGGAGCTTTCATTGATTTACTTGTTGGATCATTCTGAGATGTCTTTCATGCTGTGTCCTTCCTGTGCACATCCTGCAGCTGCATTTTTGAGTGGGAAGCTGCTATAAAAATAATTTTGTCAATCTTAACTAGCTGTAAGTTGGGCCTTGTAAGGATAGGCAGAAATACTGTCTTCTATTCTAGATGCTGAGAACATGCCTGAACTGGGCACCAGCTTTTTGGTAGTCTGGCAAGCTGTCATCCAGTTCGGTTTTTAAATTTAAAACAAAAATGGGTAAACCTGACGCTTCTCAGAGATGGACTGGATACTTAACTCTGTTCATGTTCTGAAAAGTATCTTTGCAAATAAATATACCATAGGGGTTTTGCTTGATTCCTTTTTTTTTTCTTTTTTCAGCTCACAATATTTGTAGTGCTTACAAGTAAAAGGATGTAGTTTTTAATTGCCACCTCTGCAAGCTGAGGCTGGAACGTGGAAGTTAGATGGGTTCTTTCTGGCTTCTACCTGTCAACATTGAACATGGGGCACTTGGGTATTAATGGCATTAATGATGCCTGAGCCCAAATGGCATCTCTGTAATCTTATAATCTGTTCTGTAATCTTTGTGGCAATGTCAGCAGGAAGGAAAAAGCACAGCTTGCTTTTTAGTGCCAAATAAACAATTTGGTTACAACTATAAACAAACATCGAAAACAAGTCTAGTGCACAAAAAAGTGCTATTTTAGTCACTTCTCCATTAGAATCACTTGTGTCCTTTCTTATAGGTATCTGACACTTTTTTTTTTCATTTGGATCCTTCTTGTACTGAATTGCCTCCTAAGAGGGTTGTTTGTATGCCTTGGATAGCCCTGACTGACATAAATACCAACATAGTGTGGTACTAGCACAGGCAAGCAGCAAGGCTACCTGAAATAACTGTTTTTTAAAAGTAAGGAATACTTGAGATTTGGTTTTAAAAAAAGAATGAACATGTACTTGTAATTGTAAGGTCTGTTTCCCCCCCTTGAAATGGAAAATATTTTATAGCTAACACATTTGATTCTCTTCTTCAAAGCATTAGTGTTGGAAATTACTATGTGCACTGTTGTTCCCTAGCTGAAGTGGCCTGGAGCTACTAGGAGCCTATTTAATCAGACAGTGACCAGAATAAAGTTAGCCATGCAACCGTTTTAGCTGGTGCCTATGCTAAAAGAGCTGTTCCCTGTTTCTATAAAAAACAAAAAAACAAAAAAAACCCCACCACTTCTAAAGCTATGGCATCATGCAAGGCAGTTGTACAGTTCTGTTTAGGAAAGCATTGCTGTTCAAACCAAAACTTCTGATTTCTATTTAAACCAACTAAAGCAAAGGAAAATAAGACAACATTGGGACCTTGCTGAGATGTCTCATTCATACATTTCTCCCAGGCAAGCAAAGCTTTTTAGGGAGCATATGTGGCACAGGTTCTTGTCTAAGAAGCAAGTGCTGTGGACTTTAATTTGTATTTGTCCCAAGCTCTTGGAAGTTAGGCATTTAAAAAACAAACAAACCCATAATTCATAATGGTTTACTTGCCTGCCTTCTGCCCAGAGGTGCTGTAGTGAGAAACACTGTTATTTTTAGGCTTTGCAGTGGCTTTCTTGGGACAGTGGTGGTTTGTGTCTTCTGAGGTGGCAGGTTCAAGCCCAGCTCTATTTAAACAGCAATTGGAGGTGTTTCCTCTAGCATCTCTAAACCAATAACCATGAATGCCAGAGAAGGTATGATGGGGGATGGATCACTGTAGATATACCCTCTTCACGTGGTCTTTCTCTAGGGCATCTGCGTCTCCCACTGTCTGAGACTAGGATGCTGGGTTTAGATGAACCATTGGTCTGACCTACTACTTATGTTTTTCTGAACTTACTAATTTGACCCTGAGTTTATGCTGAAAGTAGATTCGAGTAAAGCAAAGACGATGGATTCAGAAAAACTTAAAATCGTAACTCTACATTCCTTTTCTCCTCAGGCCTGTGAGGCAGAAAGCATTATGTTAAACTTAGCGGGACAACTCATCATGGTGCAAAGGGATCGGTCTGGCCCCCAGATACGGGAGAAAGAGAGTAGCTCTAACCAAAGGAAGCTTGTGAGTAAACAAACGTGCATGGGATTTCACAGTCCTTTTCTTTCAAAGGTGTAAGAGGACTGGCCAAGTTGTGAAGGTGGCTGATCCAGGCTTAAAAGTGTAGCTGCACTTCTGTGTCTGACCAAGCTCATAGAATCATGCCAATGAATTCTGACCAGCATAACCCTCTTTCTGGTCAAAAATTCACAAGCCAAGCTTGTTGCTTCAAATATTTGCATCTACACCACTACTTATATTGTAGTAGCATGTTGGAGTCCTCAGCTCAGGATCAGGGCCCCATTATCCTAGTGCTGTGTGCGCTTCAGGTAAAAGAATAAATAAACAAATCCACTCTGGGGCCTGTTTCTAAACCGTTTATGTATTTGTGATGTGCTGTCACCTTGAGGCATCTATGCTACACAAATGAATAACTAAGCTCTTCCATGTATGACTAGACACTCTTTGCAAGAGGCAGTTCATATCAGTGTCATTTTGAAGACCACCAGTTCCACAAACATCTGCAATCATGAATTGTTTGAGCAGGTCTTTAGTAATAACCAAGGATCCTGGTGGGTTTTTTTGTTTAAAAATCACACTTTCTCTGATTATAACCTCCCAAAATCCACCTTTATCCTAATTAAAATGAAATGCCACTATATATGTAGGTATCAGTTGAACACTATTTTATTGAGATCTTTACAGTTTTAAAGCAATTTGGAAGCTTACTAGTGCCTTAATCTATAATAAAATAAATTCTAAATACCTATACATTTCAGTGTTTGATTTTTGGACTACTTATCATGGAAAATCGGAGCTCTCCCTACCCCCTTCACTCTCTAGGATGTGGGTCCAGCTGTGGCTGGTGGATCCCTGCCACTTTGTGGTGCCAGGCAACCCTGATATGCCCATGCCTTGCTCATGCCATTGCCCTTCACTCCCCAACCACAGCCCCCGCAACCCTGCTGGTGTGCCCCTGACTCCCCAGCCACAACCCTCCACTCCCCCCAGCCCTGCTGGGGCTCCCAGCTGCCAGGGCTACAGGGGCAAGAACCCAGGTCTGCTGCCTCCTGCAGCAGTATCTGAGCCCTGGCTGCTGCATGTGGGAGGCAGTGGCTGCTGCAGCAGAGCTGTGCCTGGCTCCCCCTCCCCCTTTGGCAGCACAGCTGGAGTGGAGTCTGTCAGGGGAGCTCCCTGCGCTGTTGCCCTCCCTCCTCTGCAGCCCAGCAGGCAGGACCCGGTGTGGCAGGGAAGAGCAGGGCTCAGTGGGGAAGCTCGTTGTCACCACTGTGAGCCCCATGCTGCCATGGCAAGGCACCCCCTGCCCACCTGGCAGCAGGGAGGAGCACAACTCTGCACTGCCACCCCTGCTGCTGCTGGGTGGGCAGGGGGCGCTTTGCCATAATGAGATGAGGCTCGCAGCAATGGCACTGAGCTTTCCCACTCCGCTCTGCCCTACCATGCCAGGTCCTGCCCATAGCCCAGGGGGGAGGACAGCAGGGTGGGGAGCCCAAGCTTGCAGCAGGCAGCCCACACCTGCCCACGTGGCAGGGCACATGCCCTCCATGTCCCCCTGGGAGTGCGTGCAGTGGCAGAGCCGCTGTGCGCCCCCCCCCC